AGGTTCATTTTAGCTATAAAGCTTTCTGAAACAACGCCGACGTGAAATTGAGTCATTATGAAAGAGATAGGTTAATCTGAATGTAATAATGTTTGCCTTCCTCGAAAAACAAATTTTGTATCATTGTCTAATCTTAGTTTTAATGTTCGGGTTTTCATATTTCGTTCATCGGAATCTATCACCGAATTTATATCCTAACGCTACTCTTGCTCAGCCTACCAGCCTTAAGCCAATAACGTAAATGTTAGTTTAAACATATCCATGATACGAATTCATTTCAAATATAGCTCTCAACAAATATTTGCTGATAGAAAAGTAAAGGTTCTGTTGTGTGAAGAACTAAAAGAAAGCTTTTAATTTACGCGTAGGTTTCTCTGCTGACAATTGGAATTTAGACTGACCTGAGGTCGAAATATATCATGATGTCGACTCAGACTCATTTTATCCCGACCCTTTTAAATTACAACAAACATCACCTTCATATAAATGAATATTACAATACTACGCAATGGAAATGCCTATAGTTTTAACCAGAGAAAAAACTCTTAACAGTGAGTGAAAGAGAGCTTTAGGATTGCCTGCCATGTATTTTGCCTGAGAAAGGCCCAAAACATATTTATGCCCGAGAATATAAACTGTATTACTATTATTATCACTTTGAAGGGCATTGAGAAAATAAAAAGTGAAAAGAAGTACAACAAAACAATTTGAACAATCACGCGAGCGATTACAAGTTGAACTGCTTTTATTTACCCTCAATAAAAATACACAATATATCAAGCTAAGCTGACTATAAATTGCAAAGTCTTGCCATTTGAGTTTTCTACAATTGTAAAAGACGTGAAAGGAAAGTTCTATAAGCCTTAAAAAGTGTTGAAATTAATTGCACAATTACTAAACTGTCAGCGGGCTAAAATACATTTTAGCCCGCAAAATTCTCCATTTTAGACCGCAAAATGCGCCACAATGCCCGACAAAGTCATAATAAGAAAACAATATAACAATATTATAACCGCGTTCTATTCAGCTTTGTTCTGCAACATCATTTCAAAGTCTCAACAACATGTAAATTCGTCCAATCTTTAATAAGAGTTGCGTATTTAATTCGAGCCGTTTATTACAGTATCACCACAACCTAGAAGAAGGGCAGGAGTAAAGTCAAATTACCTCAGAAGAAAGGCAAAACATGGCAAAAATGGCTGCCAAGTTGATTACGTACTTAGCCTGCACTCTTCTCGTGCTGGCACCATTTGTATCCAAATCTGATGCTTTTGGAAACGGACCTAGTGTTACTTGCCCGAACGGGAAGAAATGGTGCTTTGAAAAAACGGGGTTAATGGTGAGAACCTATAAATAGTTTTTCTTTCTTTTTTGTTTTTTGTTGTTTTTTTGTTTTTTTTGTTTTTCACATTTCGCTCAATACTGAGAGCTGCCATTTTGTATAGTTTTTCAATTTGATTTTTTGACCGCTTTCCTCAAAGCTAGAGAGCGAAAACAATATCAATTGCTTTCATAGATTTCGCACCCTTTTCCCCTTGTAGGACAGAGACGACAATGCTCTTCGAGCCAAGCGCCGATTGTGTGATGCTGCTGAACGTATGGGCTGTAGAACTGAACGCTGAGTGACGCTAAGGACGAATAAAAGCTTATTAAACCACCAGCAGTCTTGGCCATGATGAAAAGATACCGAAATAATAAATTTGAATGAAGTCACAAATAACATTGTTAAGCATATATAGTGCATGACATGTAAATTAAAATTGAACGTTTAAAAATTATGTAGTTATGGTCTTGTTTTTTTAAGTAAAATAAGCAGTTTTAAAGTGGAACTCCCTAAAGTGCAGATATACATGAGTCAGCTTTTTATAGTGATGAACTTGACGTGCAAAAGACTTATAGTCACATTTTTTCAGCCTAAAATATCAGATGAAATGATTAACTGAGTAAACGAGAAATTTGGGCGCAAATAACTGGCTGCAGTAACTGTAACGATAAAGAAAGGCAGATTCAAAGCATGCATGTCAAGTGACTCGATCTCAGAAATTGGTTTCGCATTGGTTTATTTCTCTCAGTGGTACTTTTCAGCGTTGCTATAATGCCTTAAATTTAAGATATTCAGTCTTCGGCACGTAGACATACATGTAAACACGACAAGCATACAGGCTCTGTTATAATCGCTGAAATAACGCGATAGCCAGCGATTAAGTAATTGAACCTCACAAATAGTGCTTTATGTTTGCTAATGATTGACGTGATTTCTTATTGAATAGATCAGGCTTTTTGGCGTAACGGACATGGTTAAGCTAAGATAATCAGCTCATTGGTTCATTCGAACTGAGAAAGCATAACATTAACACCTAAGACATCGCCCACCTTTCCAACTACATTAAGTATTTTTCGTTCAGAGTGANACATTGTTAAGCATATATAGTGCATGACATGTAAATCAAAATTGAAAGTTTAAAAATTACGTAGCTATGGTCTTGTTTTTTTAGGGTAAAATAAGCAGTTTATAAATGAAATTCCCTAAAGTGCTGAATATTCCTATTAATTCAGGCAACCAGTGAATTTAAATAAAGATCGATCCTACTGGGCTAAGAACAAAGAGACATCAATGCAAGCACTGTAGGAGGAAACTTTTTTGGGGGTGTATGCACGAAATTCAAGATGATAATTTTTCCAGAGATTTGCGCATTGTGGGCGGGGTCAGTCATGTCCCATGTTAAGCTACATACGCAGTGTATCATGACCGTTCCAGGAGGTTTAAGCAAAAGCCACCTTTTCTCAAAAGCAACTTTTTAGTTGTCACAGTTGAGCCTCGGTATTATTTTATCGAACCACACTTCCGAGGCAGCGCGCATCTTCATTTTCTGTCAACATCTCGCGTTCCTCTGTAATATGAATCAATGAAAAAGAAAAAAAAAATGGAAGCCTAGTATATTTTTATAACGTCAACATAAACGTCGTCGGAAACTATTTCCCAAGGGTACGTCTTAATCGTTTATCTTAAATAAATCTAGGAAATTTTTAAGAGTCTGTACGTGTTCATCAGCATGGCGTTATTGAGGTAAAATATTTCGAATCTCTTTCTCCTTTTTAGACATTTATTTTAATCATTTAATTAATTATTTTTATTTTTATAATTATTTTTTCCGAAAAGCTTTTTAGAAATGTTAAACTGCACCAAATTTGCTCTATGGAAAGGAGGAAACAGTGAATGTTTGAGTCACGAACGTTAACCCATTAAGCCTTAAGCGCGGTGAAAGCCACGCAAATAGTAGTCCATTGTCCTAGTAACACCTTTTGCGTCACCATTATCAAGATAAGAGATACGTCAAATAAACAGCTAATACAGCAGGAAAAGTTATATGCAAAAGAGGCGTTAATGGGTACGCCGGGATGAACTTGGCCAGGCGATGAGCCTTCGAATCTGTCGTCTGAGGATAGAAGGAAAAGTTGATCGTTCTCAAAAAAATGGGGAAACACCTAATTTTTTTCAGACAGGGTGCAAGAGGTTTCTCTAAGTTTAGATTGGGCTAAAATGGGTCTTAGAACCCCAGGCATACAATCGTTTTATATCAATTATAGGCGGACAACTGAAACTGCTTGATAAAATGATTGTGTGGGCTTTTGAATTCCACGTGTCAACCTTTACGCTCCTTCCATATGATTCATTTTCTTTCCATCCTTTCTTGTTTTTGGAAGGGAAATAGATTTGCTGATAGATTCGAGTGAATGAAAATCAATATGAAAAATAACTTGTAACTGTTCTCTAACGAATAAAAATGATGTTACAATAAAGCAAAAACCCTTGCTTTGAGGCAATAATAAAGAGACAATCAAAACACACATTTCTTTATACTTTGGTACGCGGCTTTTCCTCAGGGAAGTTAAACATTATAATTCAGAACTAACATGCAGACTCGGCTTCATTTCGGCGTTGTTCTAGAAAGCTTTATAGCTAAAATGAGCTTGTCGTTAAATAGCTAATTTAAGTATTTTGTCGGAGAAAAGCCATTAAACATAGCTTAGTCCACCTGTTTTCCTAAGTCAGTTAAACGAAAATTATTGTTAATTGTTGAAGCATCACTGGCACTAATTAGAAATAATGCATGTGTAGGTAATGTAATCCACAACGGGCCATGCACGTTTAACCATAACCTAACAGACTGTCATTCTAATTACTCCAATGCGTATAATGAGGGTGCAGTGAAGTTTACAATCGAAGCTGAATTAAACAAAAATTACTATTAATCGCTGAAGCAACAACAATAATAAGGAATAATGCATTTTTAGTTTTCGTTCTCTGCAACGGACAATGAAAATTAACCATAAGTTCACAAACTGTCACATTACAGAAATTACTCCGATTCATATAAAGCGCGTACTGTTGTAATAGTTGTAATTTTTTTAGGTAGGTGTCCACAATTAGTAGAGGGAACGCTTCCCCTCAGCTAAACATTTTAGACACTGTAATAAAGTTTATTATTATTTATTATTATTATTGTTATTATTATTACTGTAAAGTTTAGAATGGAACTATAATTTTCATCGGCCTGATTTATTTTTGGCGTAGAACTTAACACATCTGTTTTGTCAATTTCTTATAGCGCCGAGACTATTTCACAAAACTGAATTAAAAGAAAGAAAGAAAATGGGTGCATTGTGATGATAGGAAAATATACCAAATGTTCATGACAGGCAATCTTAAAACCCTCCGGAATGATTCACGGCCGCCGCCATAAAACATGTACTATGCAAGCAAGTGAATACTTATTTGCGAGAATAAGCAACTAAATAACAAAGGGTAAAATAGTACTTATTATCGCCGGTCAAGTGCAAAGGAATTAACGTGCAATGCACGCTTTGCTTGCGTATCCACAACATCTAACGTCTCCACAACGTGTCCCATTCCCAGCAACACAAACGTTTTAATGTTAGTGTGCAAACGGCTAAAGACAGAAAGCCTAAAGTTTAATGAATGTTTCTGGTTTGCCGTAATCTCTAGCAAGTAGGTAGCTGGGATCCCCTCTCAATTTCCCCGCGTTATCTATTTTATGCTATACTTATCTTATATACATTGAAAAATGAACAAAAGGACTTCTTATAACATAAGATTGCAAGTTTCAACTTTATTTTACTTTTCCTGCATTGTAAACTCTGAATGAAGGACAGCTTTATTAAAGTACTGTATTCAGGTTACACATTGTTCGATTTTCCTCCTTTTTTCAGGAAGTAAAAGCAGAAGTTCACTGAGTTCAACAGCCCAAAAGTGCAGCGACATCACACAGCATGCGTCTTGTAGCAGTGCCATCTTCTCTTCTCCACCTCTGTTGATTGTTCTCAGTCTGCCAGCAACGTTATTAAGAGGTTAAGCATAATTATTTATATTACAAATACATTTCACATATACCTCTCAATAAATATTCTTAGATAGAAAATTAAGTTTTTGTCGTGTGAAGAACTAAAGAAGAACTAAAAGGAAAGGCTGACAATTGAAATCTAATTGCACCATGATACCACTTGCTTATTTTATCATTGTCCCACATTTTGCAATAATCGCTCTTTAACAATATTAAAGAGAGGTCTTCAACTATGTTCCACAACTTTAATTTCAAAGAATCAGCTTCATGTAAATACGTCCAATCGTTAATGGTGGTTGGATATTTAACCCGAGTCATTTGGCACAGTATCATCACAATCTAAAACTAAGGCAGAAGTGAAGTTAAATCGAAGTAGAAGAAGGTAGTAGAAGCAGAAAAATATTGCTCGAACGAAATGGCAACCAAATCGTTTACCTTATTAGCTTGCGTTCTTCTCGTCCTGGTGCTATTCGTAACCAAGTCTGATGCTATTGGGAACGGACCTCCAAGAAGTTGCCCAAAAGGGTCGGCGTGGTGTTATAACGGGAACATCAGGACGGTAACAACCTATAGATAGTGTTTCTTTTTGCAATGTGATGACAAAATACTGAAACAGTTGAACGAAACGTGTAATTTTACATCGCTTTTCTATATGATTAACAGGCAGCTTTTCTTACAACCACTGATTAATATTTAGCCCTTTCCAAACAGCAAATGTTTGGTGACACCGTACTGGTCTACATGTATGGTGTCAAACATGTTTGATCACCGTCCAAACGAACAAAATGTTTTACAATGTTTGATAAAATGTTTGTCGTCGTTAAAACTTTACCACACAAGATCAAACGCGATCAAACATGGTCAATCACGGTTTCCAAACGACAAAATGTTTGGTAACCGAACGATATTTGATCGTGTATTATGTCAGTTTTATCGCCAAACATTTCCCATTGTGGCTGTTGATATCAAATCGTTTTCAATTTATGTTTTTTTTTTTTACATTTTTTTTCCCTTTAAGGTCAGAGAGGACAATGCCCTTCGAGCCAAACGCCAGTTGTGTGACGCTGCTGCACTCATGGGTTGTAGAATTGAACACTAACTGACGCTAATATAAGTGCAAACAAAAAGTTAAACAACCAGCAGTCTTGAAAATTACGGAAATTGAAGAAATATGGAAGATGAAAGAAGACATGACTGACATTATTCAAAATATGTAGTACAAGATCGTTAACAGTGCGAATTAAAATGAATAAAATTATGTTCCTATATTTTTGTTTTAAGACCACGATAGATATAACGAGTTTATACTGAAAAGTTACTCCGTAGAGCATATATTTAAGCATGCATCAATTCAAGCAGCCTACAATTTTTATTCCGCAATTTTATAGTGTAGTGGTGATCGAATGTTGAAGACAGCTTGATCCAGGATTTCTTCTTTATCACTATAAACCTGCTTAAAGAAATTTCATCGCCTCCACCAAAAAGAACTAAAACCCTACATGAAGGTTTCAAATCCTGGTTTGAGGACACCCAAGAGAGTGATTTTTAGCAAAGCTGTATACAGCTTTGTTCCACAACACTCACTCCGTGAAAATGTCACCGGCTCTCAATTCGTTAAATCATTATTGGTAGCTAGCCATTTAGTCGAGGCGTTTCTAGAACAACCCGGCCATCAAATAAAAATTAGTTGGTACACGCGCAAAAAGCGTTGTCCTCTGGCTTGACCCGTCATGGAGAAATATAAATTAATGCAATTCAATAGCTTTCATTAGGGTAGTCATCCTGGAGTAAGAGTAACTATACCATGCTCCACAAATATGACAAGCGTACGCGTATTTTTAGGGCGTTTTTTAATTTTTATTTTATTTGAATTTTTTTATTTGGGGGAACGTGTTTAATAAAACAATTGCACCACTCGCGCTCGTTGCATATGAGATGATTATAACCAACTCGGTACCACGCGCCTCGTTGCTAATCTATCATGGCATATCCAACGCTTGCTCGTGAAAAATTTTTATGTATTACATTTTATAACTTTCTTGAACTGAACCAAATTTACCCTAAGCAAGGGAGAGAGCTGTGAACATTCAGAGTTCCAAAAATGCCAACCCTTTAACTCTCAAGCGCTCTAAAGGGCTTCTTTCTTTCCAACTTGGTATCCATCCCTAAAGAATATTAAGGCGATTGCTCAACCTCGTTCCTCTATCATGATTGAATCTCGAGAGTCACGTTCAATAATCAATGTTCTAACATGGCTGGCTCCGAGGCTTTCATGAGAAAATTACAAATTTGTTAAGTTTCTGTTGTCCCTCGATTCCCAAAAGAGGCTTGAATGCAAAGAAAACACCGCCAAATATAGAAGTAAGTCCTGAAAGCCTCGGAGCCATATGTTAAAACACCTGAATTGTAAGCGAGCAACGCTTGATGTTTTATCAAGGCCCAATAAGGGACAATAAGTTTATGTCTGTAGATGCTGCTCAGTTTCGTTTGTGTAAAAATCTAGCAAATTGTCTGTTGTCGATGAATAAGAGCGCCGCCGATGTGTGTTTTGTACAGTCAGTAAAACATGACAAATTGGACTCCCGCACTTTCTGTCAAAACGTACATCGAACTCAGATAATATCTCTAGTTTTTAAATATGTTTAAGGTTGATAAATGTTTGAGAACATATTAAAAGCCTAGCTGAAAATATGT